GTGACTTTTTTCTCTGAAAATCTTTTGTTAGCCAAATAACAATCTAGAAAAAGTTTGAATCACATTGAATTTTGCTTTCTAAAAAAACGAAAAGAGGTCTACCTCTGCCTGCCCAGAGAACTACAAAGGGACTAACAAAAGTTTCCCAGAACAAACATGACTCAAAAAAACCTGAGATCAGCCATAGAAGAAATTCTTGCTTGAATAAACAACAGAGATAGCACCAAAGAACAAGCAACTAGGAGCCATTGTGCGGGCTGAACACAAAACCAAGAGCTTCCAGCTTATGTAAACTTGGGTCCTTAAATCTTGGGGAGAGCTCAAACAAAGAATTGCGTGAAAAAAGATTTCCTGCCTGTAAAGTGAGGTTACCTCTAAAGCAAGTTAAGAATACAAATACCCAATTTCATGTATTTTAATATATACATATATAAAATTGGGAGGGAGGAGAAAAGGGAGTTGCAGATAGGGGAGGGGATCTAAATACAATCACAATATATTGTATGAAATTTGCAAAAATTCTTTTTTTTTTTTTTTTTTTTTTTTTTTTTTTGAGATAAGGTCTCCCTGTAGCCCCAGCTGTCCTGGAACTCACTATGTAGATCAGGTTGGCCTTGAACTCACAGAGATCCATCTGCCTCTGCCACCTAGTGCTAGAACTAAAGGCATGCGCCAACATGCCCGGCCAATAAAAATTATTTTTAAAAAGAATGCAAATACATAACATTAATATGGATGTAAAAAATATTGTCTTATTGTTCAATTATTTTTAAGCAGAAAATTATTTTCCACTTAAATGATGCTCTTTGAATATGTAAGATGTGCAGCTATTATATTCTGGCTGAAATGCTATGAGAACATACTTTTTCAATGAAAAAGTTTTATCAAAGTTATGGAAAATTATTTCATAGTTAAATTTGCAATTTGGTACTTGTGTAAATCCAAGGAGCATTTTTCTTTTTCTTCTTTTTTTTTTTAATAAATGTATTTGAGTCTTTATTTTTGAGTTATGGATTTTTTTAAAAATGTGTATGCTTGTATTGCCTGCACGTAGGGAAGTGCACCTGTGTCATGCAATGCCCACGGAGGTCAGAAGTCAGAATTGGATCCCACGGAACTGGAGTTACAGATAGCTGTTAGCCGCCAAGTAGATGCTTAGAATCAAACCTGGGTCCTCTGCAAGAGCAGCCAGTGCTCTTAACCGCTGAGCCATCTCTCCAG